CTGGATGATATTTAATTATTATTAGAACCGGCCCGCAGGCCACAGCCGCCTGCTGGTGTTTTGTACGCACCAACACTACATTTCCCACAATGCAACGGTCGCCCGCGAAGTCACTGCAGCGCGCACAAACGGCTTCATTCGTTCAGGGCAAAGATCCACTTTTTGATACCCCCTCCTGAAAAATGACTAAACGTAAGGTGGAGGCTGAGAACAGCGGGTTTCAGGCCAGGTGGGAGGCAGAGGACATGTTTACGGAGGTAAAAGGCAAACCTGTGTGTCTGCTGTGTGGAGAAAGTGTGGCTGTAATGAAAGAATTTAATTTAAGAAGGCACTATCAAACATCTAAGAAACACACAGACAAAGACAAGAATATGGAATATGAACAAAAGCTACAGAAGGTGGAAGAATTAAAACGAGCCCTTTAGTCCAGACAAGTTATGTTCACATATGCTAAATTACAAAGTGAGGCTGCTGTCAAGGCTAGCTTTATTGTGCCATAAATTTTTGTATTTCATTTATTTATATTTATTTTGAATGGACTCAGGGAAAATTGCAGATAAGAGCCATGAGAAATAATACAACTGATTTGATTTATTTTTTAAATTTTGCTATTTGAAAGCAGTGATCGGTAGATCATAGAGCAGCACAATAATACATTTTCCGTTTATAATGCATGCACTTTTATTTATGCATTTATCTTGATATTAAGAAACACATTTTGTTTTTAAAAACAATTAAATTTTTTGCTGTTTGGCTGTTGAAAATGTTTTCCCTTGAAGTTACCGACAGAGCCATAACAAAATATTGCCATATTAATTTAATCGTTGTGAATTTGTGTGAATACACTGTGTTAGGTCTTGGTTCAATAGTCTATGTGCAATCGTTTCGATATGTTTAAATAAACGTTGAACCAGTCCGGCCCTCGGCTTGTAGCAAATTAGTTTTTTTGGCCCTCGGTGTGTTTGACTTTGACACCCCTGTCGTAGGCTAACTGTAAAGATGATAGCAACGGACATTATCATTAAAGTTGTGATTGAACGATCTAGAGATCAGTAATCTATTGGTTTTCTTGTTCTTATTTAAAAATGTTAATAAGATGAAGATAACACTCTGTATTTAGAATGCTTTTCTATTCAATGTTTTGTATTGGGAAGAAACAATGCTGTTTGCTGTTTTATTAAGTTTATCTCTCTTACTGTAAGTTTTAAGTTTGGATTGAATGATCTGTTTTCAACTGCTAATGCCTCGCCTAGCCTGTGTTCAGAACGTGTGGCTCTCGTTCGTCCATTACAAACATGGATTTGACTGAGCCACATCCTGTCCTTGTATTTATATTTCCCCCTTTTACAGGTAAGAGCAAGGCTTGTTTTATGTTCAAAAAGCTTATAAATGCACTCATATTGTTTCGGTAATGCGGAGAGTAAACAGTGACTCGGAATACTGTCTGTGCACTTTGTAAACCGAACGTGATAGAATAGCTTCATGCTAACTGTGTCGCGCTGAGTAATGTAAGGAATGGATCAAATGCAACGCGGTTGCCATTTTTCTCCCATTGTATTTGTTTATATGGTAAGGAGACGATAAAAGTGCTGTTTAGGATTATTGTTCAGATAATGTGTTGGAAAAGAAAAATTACATTTGTAACTAGAAAATTTCTGAAGAAATTTTGGAGGGGGGCCACCTACTGCCCGTCCAGGAACCCGGGGCAGGTCGGCCAATCGATATTTGGGCTCTCTGTAATGTGGGTTCGGGCCTATGAGAGGGCCTGAGGGAGAGGCGCAGTGATGGAGATACCCGGCTGAGCTCTGGGGCCCGCTGACCGAATGTAATTGGTTTGAGAAGGTCGCGGGTGACATTGGCTGAAAGCTGAGAAAAAGACCTACGCAACAAGGTACGACATGGCTGGGTCCGGTCCCGGTGTCGTGCGAAAAAGTGAATGTCTGCGAGAATCTGATTGCGCTGGCGGGAGCGCGCACTGCAGCCCGCTGAGCGATAGCGTAAACCTGCTTTTCTCTGGATTAAACGGTCATGACATGCAGATACACACAGTTGCATTATAATATAGGCCTAATTAAATTATAATATAGGCCTAATTAAAGATTTGAAAGCTTAACGTTTGTCACATAACGGCAGTTACGTGATAGACATGTTTTTATACTCGGTCTGATGACTTTGTGTAGCCCTGACATTGGAGACTACACTACAATAAATATGATTTACTGGAGGGTTTTCAGTAAAGATATGATAACTTTTGCAACGATCCTCGTGACTGCATTGTTTTTTATCTGATCTGGCCGTATATAGCACGAGTTTCCCATGTTTCTATGTGTTTTGCAGTTTTCAATCGGTTTTCACCTGTCAAACATTGATTGGAGGCACAGTATAGTCACTCAAAGGTTATTTCTACCTAAATATGACTAGATTTCCTTCAGGAGATGCATGATTTAAAGATCTGAGCTCACAAAACAGCTTGGAACTCTTTTAAAAGACCATTACAACACAAAATAGCCATTTTGACTTGCAAAAAATGTGTTAACGCCAAATACTCTCATTCAAAGGGGATATCTGCCCAAATATGACTTGATTTCATTCAGAAGCATCTTATTATAAACAGAACAAGTCCTTTTTATGCAAAAATCACCTTTCTTCAACCACATTTGGCCTTTAATCAATTTCTAGCAGGGCGTTTTGACCTCAGCCGACTTGCTAGAAACTGATTAAAGCCCAAATACTCTCATTTAAAAGGGATATCTGCCCAAATATGACTCCATAATTTAAAGATCTGAGCTCACAAAATAGTTTGGAACTCTTTACCACACTAAAAAGCCATTTCGACTTGCAAAATCGCTTTTTCTTATATGATTTCATATAAGAAATGCTGGGTTTCAAATTACCCAGGAATGGCATGAAATCAAGAAGTTTTTCAATCTCTTAAAAATACTACTTTACTGCCATAGAAATACCAAGAAAAAAAAGTCAATTCATAAGTGTTGGTGCAAAATAATTGTGTTTATTTTAATCTAAAGAGATTTATATAGACAAAAGCATGAACATGAAACATGAAAATTTGAAAAACACACAAAGATGTAACTATTTACATATCAGAGGGGCAATAGCAACACATGCTACTGGCAGGCCGCACAAATATATTCCTTTCGGCCTCTGTATTTGGCACAGCATTTGTGGAACCACCGTGGGCAGATTTCACATCCAATCTGAATTTGGCAACAGGAAAAAAAGTTATTAAATTTTAGGCAATTATGACAAACACCAAAACATGTTTATTTTGTTTTCCTTACATATGGACATTTGAATATATAGTCTTTTGCAAATCTAAGACAGACTGAAGGACAGGTAAAGAACAGTTACCCAATGAGTGTCCCCATCCTGCTCCCCACACAGATGGCACAAGTTACTCAAGTCATCTGCAAAAACAAGGAACATGATTTATTTTCCTTCAACTGTGAGGAATGTTTGTCAGAATAAATTATAACAAAAAAACAAAAAACACCTGTGTTTTCCAAAATGGAAACGGCAATGTGTTCTCGGATAGAGTTCACGCCAGATGTTGAGTTATCGAACTCAAGGGGTAATCCACCCAAGATGCACTCTGCAAACTGTAAATATGAGGTGGAAGAACAGATTTATCATGTGAAATGGTACTCTTACAAGTAGTGTTACTATAAACAACCCAATAAACCTTTTTTTTTACAAATAAAACCACTGCAAGAGCTGGAAATACAGAGATAAACTAAACTGGGGAAAAACAAAAACCAGAACTACAAAGAACAAAAGTTAAATGGATGAGACTCTAGAAAAAAACAGTGGGAACACAGGACCAGGAGAGTCAAAGGAGGAGGACACAGAAGAGCCAAGAAAACTTACAGGACACGACACAAACATAACGCAGAGGAACCAATGGCCAGGGAAAGTAAACATTAATTCGAATGAGGATCTGACAAGGAGTGAATGAACCAGAGAGCTTTATAGAGGAGGAGAGACAACAGGAAGATGGGAAAACTTGAAAAACAAAACAGTGAACCAAATCTGAGATATCAAAATAAAAACACTCAAGGAAAGTCTTTGAACCCAGAACAGAGACAGAACACAAGACATAGGACACGACAAGATGTCTCATAAATGTTCTTGGTTTGTAAACATTTAATAACAACAGCCAGTGTGGGGATTAACGATTGAATTATTATTTTTTTGGATGAACCTAGAGGTTTAAAATGACTGCAGCATAATCTAAATTTAATTATAATCCTAACATAAAGCTTAATCATGCTGTGATATGTACCTTCAATGCATAGGCACCACAAGATGTGGCATCATGTTGCAGTGGGTGAGACCTCGTCTCACATGCCCATCTGGACACGTTCAGCCCCCTGTGTCTCATGAATGATCTAAAAAACACAAATAAATGTTGTCTATATATGCAATACAAATCAGTCAGGCTTTACTTTTAAGAATTGAATAGTTAAAATGTTCACTGCATTGATGTAATGTAAAACAAAATTCCTTACTGTTTCCAATCGCATTTCTTATTGGAAAAAACACAAAGATGTAGAATGAAGAAGTAAAAACTGGATTTCCAAGGAAAGGAGATAACTTAGACTTGTCAGTGAAGAGTTTTGTAAAACCAGAATTGATTTTTAGCAGTGTACAGGGAATAGCTATCTGTAAAACCAACAGTTATTACCTTTATGCTTTGAAATTGAGATAGAAAAATTATGATATAATGAGGACTTTGAGAAAAAGACTTATCACAGCTGGAATGGACGATTGAAAATTATGGGATGATCACAGCCCACAAGTCTATTAACATATGTAGCGGTAGATAAATCTAAACCTGTTTACAGGCCTATCATTTTTTTCAAAATGTGAAAATCTTTTTCTTTGAGTTTCTAACATCCACAGCTAAGACTTTCCCCATTATAAATATAAACCTGTCTAAGTTTTATGTTAAAACTTAGACAGGTTAAAAAAAGAACTACTAAAAAAAGATACTATACTGTCTTGATAGATTATGCTATATTGGCACATTTAACATCTTTTTATTTAAACATACCTTAAATTCCACAGCGCTGGCCATTAATTACAGTAATAGTTTGTTTGTTTTTTAACGTGTACTTCACTCTAATAAAATAAAGATGAATTCATGCAAAATTACCTTGTAACATCCTTGCAGTGGTTTATTGAGCTTTTTCTTTCACCCAGTGGATCTAGATAAACTGTTTTTTTGTCTCCTGGCAAGATCACCTAAATATAGTGTCAAAAATTAATAAAGATACTGTAATACTATAGTTATAGTTTTTCAGCCATAAAATGCAGACTGCATCCGTATGTATACACACACACAACCATCCACACACATGCATACACTATGTTTATATATACATACATACATACATATAAAACCCAATACCATCAAGTCTTAAAAATTAAAAAATAATTACCACCAGCATCCAATGGTGACCCGCATTGACAATGCCCACGATTAACTTGTATAGCTGTGGGACTATCTGTAAGATAATTAAATAAAAAATGCCAGGTGATTAATGCATATTGTGATGTATTAATTTGTACTTTAACATGAGATCATATTTTTTTAATACCTTTACTTTGGGTTTCAGTCCATCCCAAATGCGGGTCATTTCAAAAGTGTCCACGGCACATGCCCTGTCTGCTTTGTTGTCATTATATTTTTTAATTAGCAAGGACAGATATGCATTGATAACCTGAAATTTAAAATGAAAGGTTCAAAAACATATTTAGAATTAACAAAGATAATGCAAATTTTGTGTGCCTGACTAAAAAGTATATTCAATACATGAACCTTTTCCAGAAAAGAGAATGTTACCACCTCACCTCGCTTTCCAGTTCTCTTTGTGGTCCAGTATTGAATATGTCCCGAAAGAACACTTTGAGGGGCCCAATTTTGGAAAGAAGAACATATGTTTTTTTCCCCTCCGATGCGTCCTTCACATCTATAAAAATCATTTCAAAGTTGTAGTAATGACATTCTGCAAGGACTAAAATACACTTCAGATACAGCATAATCTTGCTCGAATGGAAACCTAGTATAATATTTGTGCTGTTTTTTTGTTTTTTAAAATATTGTCATAGTATACATTTGTTGACTTGAGGGTTGCATAGATTCAAATTTGGATTATATTGATGGTTATTTTGGATTTATAAGAAATTTCAAGTTTATATAAAAGTGAAAACATTTATTAAAAATGTGGTTGCTAACTGGGGTGTTTACTGTGGAGTTTGTGGATGCAGGGGAGGTGCATCTAACCTGTAATGGCAGTGGCTGTGGAGAGGCCAGAGAAGGTCCTTTTGGGCGCACCTGATGACGGCGGGGTGGCAGGCGGGTGAGATGACGGCGGGGTGGCAGGCGGGTGTGATGACGGCGGGGTGGCGGGCGGGTGTGATGATGGCGGGGTGGCAGGCGGGTGAGACGACGGCGGGGTAGGTGTGCAATCTGTTATCTTGTGTGGCACTCTTCTTTGCTCCTCCTGATAAGGAACCAAATGATCAGGTCCACACTTTTGCCGTCTATGGCCACAATTGTGAAGGGCCCTAGATAATTAGGGTCTAATTTCCCCCCTTTTCTCTGCTGGCTCCTCACATTAAGTCTCCAGACCTTAATACCCACCTGAAAGGGTGGGGCAGTTTTTTTGGCCTTTTTTTGGGGAGTTTTGGCCTGGTTATTATTTATTGCACTTTGAAATGCCTCATCCAGTTTAAGGATGTCCTCAGTCATTTCCTCAACTGAAATGTTGTTCTCAACACTCCCATCCACCTTTAAAATGATTTAATGGTTAGATTGAAGCATTAATATACACATTGTTCATTGTTTCTTTGACATACAAAATGCAACTTACCCTGTATTCTTCAGGGATCTCGGTGGGGTACCTTGCCTCTCCCCCAAACATTAAAAAATATGGGGAGAATTTAGTGGTAACTTGGCGCTTAGTCCTGAGTCCAAACATCACAGTTTCAAAACAGTTCTCAGCCAACGACTCTGCATCTGTCTGGAAGGGGCTCAGGCAGATCACCAACTACAAACCTAATCCCCCCCACTCTGTCAACGACCTGCGTCTGGCAAACGAGCTGAACGACTTCTATTGCAGATTTGAAAGACAATGGGACAGTCCTAACACCAACACCATCCCCCGCCACCACCAGCCCCTGCCCTCCTGCACCCCCACCCCCACCTCAGCGGGGGCCTGCCCCCACCCTCAACTGCCCACATTGAAGGACCCCCTTCCGTCAACTACCATGACTCTCTCCATCCAGGAGAGGGACGTATCCAGCCTATTCAGGAAACAAAAACCACGCAAAGCAGCTGGACCCGACTCTATCTCTCCTAGCATCCTGAAGCACTGCGCAGACCAGCTGTCTCCTGTGTTCACCGACATCTTCAACACCTCGCTGGAGACATGCCATGTGCCCGCCTGCTTCAAAACCTCCACCATCATCCCCGTCCCCAAAAAAACAAAGATTTCAGGCCTCAATGACTACAGACCTGTCGCCCTGACCTCCGTGGTGATGAAGGTATTTGAGCGCCTTGTCCTCGCCCACCTGAAAGACATCTCAGACCCACACCTGGACCCACTGCAGTTTGCCTACAGAGCCAACAGGTCTGTAGATGACGCTGTCAACCTGGCTCTCCACTTCATCCTCCAGCACCTGGACTCCCCGGCCACCTACGCCAGGATCCTGTTTGTGGATTTTAGCTCCGCCTTCAACACCATCATCCCCCCTCTACTCCAGGACAAGCTCTCCCAGCTGGGTGTGCCTGACCCCACCTGCAGATGGATCACCGACTTCCTATCTGACAGGAGGCAGCATGTGAGGCTGGGAAGCCACACCTCCAGCAGCCGGACCATCAGCACTGAATCCCCCCAGGGCTGTGTTCTCTCCCCCCTACTCTTCTCCCTGTACACCAACAGCTGCACCTCCAGCCACCAGTCTGTCAAGCTCCTGAAGTATGCGGATGACACGACCCTCATCGGACTCATCTCACATGGGGACGAGTCCGCCTACAGGTGGGAGATCGACCGTCTGGTGTCCTGGTGTGCAGCCAACAACCTGGAGCTCAACGCGCTCAAGACAGAGGAGATGGTTGTAGACTTCAGGAAGAACACAGCACCACCTGCTCCCATCACTCTGTGTGGCTCCACAATTGCTTCTGTGGAGTCCTTCTGTTTCCTGGGGATCACAATAACCCAGGACCTAAAGTGGGAGCTGAACATCAGATCCCTCACAAAGAAAGCACAGCAAAGGATTTTCTTCCTGCGGCAGCTGAAGAAGTTCAACCTGCCCAAGGCAATGATGGTGCACTTCTACACAGCCATCATTGAGTCCATCCTCACCTCCTCCATCTCCATCTGGTACGCTGCTGCCACCGCTAAGGACAAGCGCAGACTGCAGCGTATCATTCGCTCAGCCGAGAAGGTGATTGGCTGTGATCTGCCATCCCTCCAGGACCTGTACGCCTCCAGGACTTTAAGGCGTGCAGGAAGGATCATGTCTGATCCTTCTCACCCTGGTCACAAACTCTTTAAAACTCTCCCGTCTGGCAGAAGGTTGAGGACCATCAGGACCAAAACCTCACGCCATAAAGACAGTTTTTATCCAACAGCAACTGGCCTCATCAACAAGACCAGCGACCCCCACCTATTCTTCTCCCCCCCCCCTCTACCTCACTAATTTACCCAATGCTCCAGCTTTTTCTGGTCTGTCGTTGCAGATCAACATTGCACATTTCAATTGTTAATTTGCACATTCAAATCTATATTTTTAAAGATTGTTAATTTGTACATTCAGATTTATACTTTTAAAGATTGTATTTTTCAGTTTTATCATTCTGCCCTATATCTTTATTTCTACTTTTTATTCTTGCTTCTCATAGAAGTGTTGTGTTGTGCACTAAACACCAAGGCAAATTCCTTGTAAGTCTGAAAACCTTCTTGGCAATAAACCTGATTCTGATTCTGATTCTGATCACAGCATCCAAGTGCTTGTACCACTCCTCTGGCCTCTCCTGTGCAAGTTTTGATAGTGCCCTAGAAAAAAGTTAAAATCATGGAGCTCTTCTTGAGTTTTTAGGATTCATATACTGTTTATTTTATAACCAACAAAAAAGTGTTCACTGCAAAAAAGTGATAATTATCAAATGTTATAAAAGACATACCTCTAGATCCTCTCCACCAGTCCATTGGTCTGGGGATGGTAGGGAGAGCAAAGGCATCTTTGTATCCCCAGTATATTGCATACTTTTTTGTTGATCTGTATTGGAATAAATAAAGACAGCAAATTAAATGTATCTTTAGAAATAATGCCTTTGTTTTTCATTGAGGTCAAAACATTTAAATGAGTTATTACAAAAATTATATTCATGATAAGTGTTTAATATATTTTTATTCAATGTCAGTAGCATATATACCTCATTAACAAACTCCCGGCCTTGGTCAGTCAAGATCCTCTTGGGAGCTTCAAACTGCAAAAAAACTTGAGGATGCACTGACTGACTTCCTCAGCAGTCTTTTTGATGGCATATGCCTGGGGCCACTTTGTAAGGTAATCAACCATGACGCAAATATACTGATTCCCTGTCTTTGTTGTTTTTAACTTGCCTATCAGATCCATCCAATAAGCTCAAATGGTTTTGAAACCTGTAACACATAAAATATCACTATTAATATGTATGTCATATGTCCTCAATAAGTACAATGTCAAACACATTTTATCTAAAAGTAAAATATAATATGACTGAAATTATGTTGTTGTTTTTTTTTTTTACTTTTATTGGTGTGTACTCCACCTCCTGCTTAATGACGACTCTGCTGGCATGGCATGCAGTACACTGGTTCACCTGACAAAAAAACAAAAAAACTAGTATGATCATTTTCCACATCTGTGTGACTTAGAGTCTGTGGCGATCGTGCCACCGTGGGTGTCTGACAGAGCCCTCGGAGACCAGGATTCGTTGGTTAACGGATTTATTTCAGAGCGTGTGTGCGGCACCCGCACACACACTCTCTCACACAAGCACACACACTCACGCCCGGCTAAGGCTCTTTGTTTAGTTGCTTGTTCCTGCTCCGTTCCAAGCTGGTCGCGTCCTGCTCCAGCTCTCCTCCAAAACCAGTCTCCCCCAGGTCCAGCACACTACTCTTTTTACAGAGGGGAGAGTGATTAGTCAACCGGTTCCAGGTGTGCCTAATCATCTCCCCTGGCACTGCTCACCTGAGCCTTCTCCCCCCCTCCCCCCTGCAGCTGAGCGCCACGCCCCCTCCACAGAGTCCCATAATTTATTTTTAGATTTTAGCTGATGTCCCCATGGCCGATGCTGTTTCTGTTGTTGGCGCTCCTACTACTACTCCTACTACGGGGCTGGACGTGGCGACGGCGGCCCCTCCACCTGCAGACGCGCCGGCTCCTCCGGCGGCAGCTGTGACGATGGCGCTTCCACCTGCAGCTGCTGTGTGGTCCAGGACTGGAGCCAGGCCCAAGGTTTCAGGCCCCAACTCTCCAGCAAATCGTCCTTCACACCTGATGTACGGGACAGATGTGGTCCGTGGTGAACATCCGGCTTCCCCGGTGGCCGCATCTGATGCCACCGCCCCCTCTGTGTTGATCAGACAGCGTGGGAGATCCTCCTCCTCTTTCCGCCGTAGATTGCTTGTGGAGGCTGTGAACAGGAGATCTGGTGGTCTCCCCCGTCCTCAGCCACCAGGGTTGGATTACAGCCCCGTTTCAGGAGCCCCTGCGGCCGCAGCTGAGGTCCCATCCTCCGCTGATATTGCTGTTCCTGCTGTTTTTATCTCTGGTCCACTCCCCACATGCGGTCGTTGCGCCGATCGTTTTAGCAGGATTCTCCATCTCCATACCTGGCTCCAATTTGCCTGCGCAATGCACAATATTGGTTTTATCCACAACTTCGATCTGTTCTGGGAGCGCCCCTCTTTTTACGGACCAGACGGGCTCCATCCGAACAGATTGAAGTTGGAAGCCAGCATGCGGCTCCCCAAAGTTGTTGTGAGCCATGCAGGTGATTGACTATTTTCTTTGCACACCTGCCCATCTGACTGTTCTTCTTCTCCAGTCCCCATCACGAAGGCTGCTACTCACTCCTATGGCCCCCGGTGGCATGATTCTCCTACTGCTCAACCTTGCCCTATTCCAGTTCTCATAACAAACAGATATCTAAAAGTCCCTAAATCAGTCTGCGCGATAAATCATGCTAGTCTCCGGCCACTGAGACAGGCCACACCCTTGACTAGTGTGAATCTTCACATGGCTCTATTAAACACTAGGTCTTTAACTAACAAAACTTTCCTATTGAATGACCTTTTTACCTCTCGTGGATTGGATTTTATGTTCCTGACTGAGACTTGGCTCCAGACTGGGGACTGTGCACCTTTCTCTGAACTCCTTCCCCCTGACTGTTCTTTCCTCAGCTCCCCCCAAAACACTGGCAGAGGTGGAGGCTTAGCATCTGTCTTCACAAATTTAGTTTTCAGTGTTGCCAAATTACATTTGACAATTATTCTAGCTTTGAGTTACAGATGTTTGAACTAAACCTGTCCTCCCCAGCTCTGTTTGCAGTTGTCTATCGTCCTCCAAAAGCAATTAGTGGCTTCATAAATGACTTTGCAGACTTTCTCTCAATGGTCTCTGTGAAATATGACCATCTCTTAATTTCTGGTGACTTTAATATTCATGTCAGCTGTAAATCAAAGCCACTGGTAAATTATTTCTTAAATCTCATTGATTCTTTTAACCTTGTGCAATCTGTGACTGGCCCGAGACACGAGAAGGGGCATACTCTGGATCTTGTGCTGTCTTATGAATTATCAGTATGTGTAAATGAAATCTGTGAAATAGTATGTATCTCCGATATTTTGCCAGTCTTATACACGGTCTCCATTCCATGTGCACAATCTAAATTCTGTGCCACAATACGCCTCTCACGCACCATCAACCCTCAAACCGCCCTGAGTTTCTCCGTCATGTTCAGTGATGCCATTATTAATGGCATATTATATAATAATCACGTGCCCGACGCTGAAGAGCTTTTAATTACTTTTAATACCACATGCAAGGCCATTTTGGACTCTATTGCTCCATTCAAGTCAAAGCACACTAAAACATCCTCTCAACCATGGTTAAATAACTCCACTCGCACGCTCAGACGTTCATGTCGACGTGCAGAAAGGAAGTGGAAAAAGGATAAGTTTCATGTCTCCTACGAAGTCTTAAAAAACTGTCTCTCTGACTATCAGAAGGCCGTCAAAGCTGCCAAACAAGAATACATATCAAACATTGTCTCCAATAACAGACATAAGCCTCAAGTTTTGTTTAATATTTTTAACTCTCTTGTAAATCCCTGCGAAAACTCTCCTCTAGTGCCATCACAAATTCTATGTAATTGCTTCCTCAAATTCTTTATTGATAAAATCTCTGCCCTTAGATCAGCTCTTCCCACTCCTTCTGTCCCGGGCGCTGACCCCACTGCTCCTCCTTTGCCTGCTGCCCTCGATCAGTTTGAGCCAGTATCTCTCTCCATCCTCTCAGATGTAGTCAAGCAGCTGCGGCCCACAAACTGTCCCTCTGACATCATCCCATCCCGTCTCTCTCTTTAATCAACTACAGTCTTTCCTTCTCGCCAATGACATCCATGAGAAGTTTCAATCTGGTTTCAAACCATTTCACAGCACTGAAACAGCATTATTGAGAGTCCTAAATTACCTATTTTTAATTGTCGATTCTGGAAACCTTGCTGTCCTGGTTCTCCTCGACCTGACAGCTGCTTTTGACACTGTAGATCACAGGATTGTATTATCCCGACTAGAACATAGTCTTGGAATCACAGGCTCTGCACTCCTATGGTTTAAATCCTACCTGACTGATCGCAGTTTTTCAGTTCACTTAAAGGAATTCACCTCAAACACAGCCCCTCTTACATCTGGAGTACCCCAAGGGTCCATTCTTGGCCCAATCCTCTTTCTAATATATATACTCCCACTGGGTTCAATTTTCAGAAGACATAATATTGATTTTCACTGCTATGCAGATGATGTACAGATTTATCTGCCTTTAAAGTCTAGCTGTGGGGATTCTGCACAGCCACTGCTGGAGTGCCTAGAGGACGTCAAAGCTTGGATGGAAAACAACTTCCTCAACCTAAATGAAAATAAGACTGAGATTATTATGTTTGGATCTAACCCCTCAAATTTTCATTCAGCTCCCTCAGTCCCAACATTAGGCCTACCGTCAGAAACCTCGGTGTAACCCTTGACAGCGCCTTTAAATTTGACACACAGGTGAATTCAGTTGTAAAAAACAGCTTTTTTCAGTTAAGACTTCTGGCAAAGATAAAAGGCTATCTCTCACACCGACCTGGAACAAGTAACTCATGCTTTTATCACATCACGCCTAGATTATTGCAATTCTCTGTATGTTGGTATTGACCAGTCACTGCTCCATCGTCTACAACTCATACAGAATTCAGCTGCCCGTCTCCTCACTGGAACACGTAAGCGTGACCATATTTCCCCAGTTCTGGCCTCACTCCACTGTCTCCCAGTGCAATTCAGAATTGCTTTTAAAATTTTACTAATTGTATTTAAAGCCTTACATGGGCTCGCGCCAAAATACCTGTCTGACCTTCTGCACTCTTATGATCCCGTAAAAACTTTGAGATCAGCCAGTCAGTTGCTGCTGGTGGTCCCGCAAACGAGGCTGAGGACTAAAGGTGATCAAGTCTTTAGTGTGGTCGCCCCAAAGCTCTGGAATAGCTTGCCTTTTAATATAAGAGCTGCCCAGACAATAGAGGAGTTTAAGTCCTGTTTAAAAACGTATTTATTTGACATGGCTTTTAACATTTTAACCTTAGGTTGAGGTAAAGCACCTTTTTACCTTTTTTTTTTTTTTTTTAAATCTTATTTATTTATTTATTTATTCCCCTCCCTGGCTGCCACCTTATCGTGGTGGAGGGGTTTGAGTGTCCCAGTGATCTTAGGAGCTATGTTGTCCGGGGCTTCAAGCCCCCTGGTAGGGTCACCCAAGGCAAACAGGTCCTAGGTGAGGGATCAGACGAAGCGCAGCCAAGAAGACCCCTGTGATGATCAAGAAAATTGGACTCAACGTTCCCTCGCCCGGGCGCGGGCTACCGGGGCCCCCCCCTGGAGCCAGGCCCAGGGGCGGGGCACCATGGCGAGCGCCTGGTGGCCGGGCCTTCACCCATGGGGCCCGGCCGGGCCCAGCCCGAAAAGGCAACATGGGTCCCCCGTCCCATGGGCCCACCACCCATGGGACGGGCCATAGGGGTCTGGTGCAGTGTGCCCTGGGCGGCGGCCGGAGTCGGGGACCTTGGCGGACTGATCCCCGGCTGCAGAAGCTGGCTCTAGGGACGTGGAACGTCACCTCTCTGGCGGGGAAGGAGCCTGAGCTGGTGTGCGAGGCGGAGAGATTCCGGCTGGACATAGTCGGTCTCGCCTCGACACACAGCTCTGGCTCTGGAACCAGCCTTCTCGAGAGGGGTTGGACGCTCTGCTACTCTGGAGTTGCCCCCGGTGAGGGGCGCCGAGCAGGAGTGGGCATACTCATTGCCCCCCATCTCTGTGCCTGTACGTTGGGGTTTACCCCGGTGAGCGAGAGGGTAGCATCCCTTCGCCTTCGGGTGGGGGGACGGGTCCTGACTGTCGTTTGTGCCTATGCGCCGAACAGCAGTACAGAGTACTCACCCTTTTTGGAGTCCTTAGAGGGGGTACTGGAGGGTGCCCCCCCTGGGGACTCCCTCGTTTTGCTGGGGGACTTCAACGCTCACGTGGGCAACGACAGTGAGACCTGGAGGGGCGTGGTTGGGAGGAATGGCCCCCCCAGCTTGAACCCGAGCGGTGTTTTTGGACTTCTGTGCTCGGCACGGATTGTCCATAATGAACACCATGTTCAGGCATAAGAGTGTCCATATGTGCACCTGGCACCAGGACACTCTAGGTGCCAGGTTCAATGATCGACTTTGTTGTCGTTTCAGCTGATCTGCGGCCGCATGTTCTGGACACTCGGGTTTCCACTGACCACTACCTGGTGGTGAGTTGGCTCCGATGGTGGGGGAGGATGCCGGTGAGACCCGGGAGGCCCAAACGTGTTGTAAGGGTCTGCTGGGAGCGCCTGGCGGAGTCCCCTGTTAGGCGGAGCTTTAACTCCCACCTCCGGGAGAGCTTCAAGCGCGTTCCGAGGGAGGCGGGGGACATTGAGTCCGAATGGGCCGTGTTCCGTGCCTCCATCGATGACGCGGCCTCTCGAAGCTGCGGTCGCAGGGCTGTCGGTGCCTGTCGTGGCGGCAACCCTCGAACCCGCTGGTGGACACCGGCGGTGAGGGATGCTGTCAGGCTGAAGAAGGAGTCCTATCGGGCCTTTTTGGCCTGTGGGACTCCGGAGGCAGCCGATGGGTATCGGCAGTCCAAGCGACATGCGGCTCGGGTGGTCGCCGAGGCAAAAACTCGGGCGTGGGAGGAGTTTGGGGAGGCCATGGAAAAAGACTTCCGTATGGCCTCGAGGCGATTCTGGTCCACCATCCGGCGTCTCAGGGGGGGGAAGCAGTGCCCCACCAACACTGTTTACAGTGGGGATGGGGTGCTGTTGACCTCAACTCGTGACGTTGTGGGTCGGTGGGCGGAGTACTTCGAGGACCTCCTCAATCCCACTGGCGT